AAAAGGGAAAATATCGTAGTACATTCCTATGCAACTGAAAAGAGGAGGAGAGGGAAGGGAGAAGGGCTAAAGGCATGAAACTGGTCTCTCCCCAGATGGCGTATTCGAGTGTTGCGATCGCGAATAGCACATTTCAGAGGATTCTCTTAACTCTAGGGCGAACACAGTATACCGAAGAAAAAGATTTCCTTTCTCTCGCCGATCCGAGCCAAAACCTGTCCTAAACAATGATCCCACACTGTTACTTGAATAGCTAACCACGTTACCATAGTCACCACCACGAACTCGTCTGGATTAATCCAGACGAATGGCTAGGGGAGTTCTTACTTTAGACAAACTATGCACGTTTATTTGTTGCCTGATTTATTATATGTGTTTTTAAAAAAATCGTTATAAAATCTTCATTCGCAAACCTGTCATTTCAAGACAAAAAAATCGTCATCTGAATAAAAGAATAAAACACTATACTTATCTTCAGAGCCGGATTATACCTTTCGTAGGCCCTAGGCATAGCCGTTTTTGGGCCCTCCCTCCTTTCCCCACTCCTCCCCTCTTTTCAAAATATATACTAAAATTTTCTTGCATATTTTTTCTTACATTTTTATTAATATGGATATTTTGCGTAGTTTGGAATTCGACAGCATAATACAAGATTTCGTTGAATCCAAAAATCGCTAAAAAGTAATATATTAGATAAGATTCTGCAAAATAATTTATTACCGAAAAATATTATAATTTTATTTGTATCTTCATAATTTTGTGCAAAATACACTTGTTGTTTCTAAAGCTAAATTATTTTTGTCAACAAATTTTTTTCTCCCAAGTTTTTCGTAGGCCCCTGAATTTCGTAGGCCCTAGGCACGTGCCTAGTGTGCCTATAAGTTAATCCGGCCCTTCTTATCTTGTCAACAATAACATCTAAATTTAAACTTAAATAATAAATAGTAAAATGATCTTAATCTCGCTGCTAGAACAAGAGGCTAACACTACCGCATGATGTTGCACAGATTGCATCAAGAACAAAAAACAATAAACTGGTTAAAAGAGGCCAAATCGAGACTACCAAAAAAGCGAGTTCTTTCTAAATCTAGCAATGTCACCTTTTTTAACACTGCATCTATAAATAATTTTAAAAAAATTTCATTTCAAATTCACAGCAGATTTGAGCTCGAAAATTATAAAATTTATTTCTGTTATTAAAAACAATTGGCAATCGAAATGGGCCACAGGTGGGTTTGATTGATTGATTTGTTCATTTACGTCGTACTAGAGCTGCACAATGGGCTATTGGCGACGGTCTGGGAAGCATCCCTGAGGATGATCCGAAGACATGCCATCACAATTTTGATCCTCTGCAGAGGGGATGGCACCTTCGCTTCGGTAGCCCGACGAACTGCACGAGAAGTCGAGCACTTTACGGTAGAACAGTTTAACGATGACCAATACCACACACCCTCGATACTTACGCAGACTGATCCAAGTGGTCACCCACCCGCACACTGACCGCAGTCAGTGGCGTAGAGCAGAACTCTTTACAACAACACTTCGCATGCTTTCAACATTAGCGTGTGGAGATTTATAGAAGAATTCAAACTATTTTACAGTGAAGTGCTCGACTTCGCGAGCAGGTCATTGGTCTACCGAAGCGGGGATGCCATCCCCTCTGCAGAGGATCAAAACACCATCCACAAAATAAATAATTTATTATTATTGTTAAGGAAAGTTTCCACAAACATCTAAATAGGCTATGATATATTTCAATCCAGTCGTTTTCGACAATGATGCCATTTAGTACTGACAATTTATAAAATAAATTTGCTTTTAATTAAGCTTTTTTTTAAAATTGCATAAGTCCCACAGTTTGCTGATTGAAAATAAACGGTTCCCAGTAGAACACCGAAGTCAAGCATCACTGGCTGCGTTCAGTAAGCGGGTGGGTGACCACTTTGATAGCCTGCGTAAGGACCGAGGGTGAGCGGAATCGGTCCTCTGGTGCGTATCTGGTAAAGTATCTACCTACCTTAAATAACATATATGTTAGTCGCATTAAAAGCAAAAATTAAGCCTTTAATGTGACTAACATGTTAAATTTTTCTAACTTTTTTTCAGAAGACTGTGCGTATAGACAGATTATTTTTTCTAATGAGTTTAGTTTTTTTGCTAATTTAAAATTTGTACATTAATTCCCTGGGATAACCAAAACTCAAGTTACTATTAAAATTTAAAGAGAATAATTTACTAATTTAAATCATCGTAATTGTTATTGATCTTAATATTTTTTTCTTGAAGTATTATTTGTAGAGAGTAAGGAAAAGGCCTTATTTTTATTTTAAAAAAATTTATTTTATTTAAAATAATGATAAATTCTATAATATTGAGCTCTAAAGGGTGGTCTAATGTAAACAATAACAAGCGTCCTTAAACCGGAAGAAATTTAGAAAATTTCCGGTGTATCCCTCCACTTTATGTTATAACTACGAGGCGATGTGTGAACAAGCCTAATATTCTATGCAGTTTTGTTATTGTAATTTGGGTTCAAATCTAAACGTAATTGTACCATTCATAAGAGCTTTCAGAAATGTATTGATTCTCAGAAGTCGTAAGACCAAAAAAAAATTTGGAAAGTTAATATCTCATTGTGAATAATTCTTAAGGTTTGCCATGTTTTGTATTTTATCCCTTATTTGGCTACATTTGAATAAAATGTCGTAAAAAATATCTTTTTAAGATAACCTAATTAGAAAATATTCTAATAATCATAATATTAATATGATAATGCTGAAGTTTAAAGGGTGAAAGAAAGAACTCGGTACATGTGAAATACTGCAAAAGATATGATGCAATAATATGATGGCGCGTTTTTTCAATCTGCGGCGTAAAAATATATCGTAAGCAGTAACCCGGAAGTCTTGAAAGAGCAATTTAGGGAACGCTGCAAGCTCCATACCGCCTATATTTCCGGGTTACTGTCTCCGGTGAATTTTGAAGCTATTTGGCTCACAACGTGATCGTCGTGCTTTGAGATTCTTGCAAATGTGGCATTTGATTACTTATTGCTTGCGTTTACAATGCTGACAATACTTGTGCTTACAATGCTAAAGGTGCTAACACTAAAGTAATTACTTTAGATGTAATTTAGATAGTAATTCTTTACCATCTTAAGATGGTGCACAGCTTATAACAAGAACAAACAGTAATAAACAAATGGAAAGAGGTCATATCAGGACTGCCAAAAAAGCGAGTTATTCAAAATCTAGCAGCCATGCCACCATTTTTAACAATGGATGGTGTTTTCAATAGAAATGTAAACAATAACAATCTCGAGCTCGGGACCTACTCTAGTTCCGGTTAAAAAGTTTGCAGCTGCTTACTACATGTTATTCTGATAGGCGATGTTTTCAAACGGATAATTTTGTTTTCAGTAAAAGAAATAAATTAGATAATTTCTGCTCTCAAATCTGCCGTCTTTCATAAGATATTAATGTTATTATGTAATTCTGGGGAGTTTGGAGTGAAAATGTGTTTTAGTTATTTTGTTATTTATTATTAAAAAAGGTGACATGGTTGCTAGACTTTGAATAAGTCGCTTTTTTGGCAGTCTTGATTTGGCCTCTTTCCATTTGTTTATTACAGTTTGTTCGTGTTGCAAGCTGTGCACCATCTTACGTTAGTGTTAACACTTTTAGTATTGTAAACACAAGTATTGTTAGCATTGTAAACATAAGTA